ACATTGTTAAATATGTTATCATCGATTTAATATATTAATTGTTAAGAGGTATGACAAACAATAGCTTAAGTAAGAAAATATATAAATAGACTAATGCCATTGTTTAAAATAAAACGCTTCTCTTAACTTCTTTTCTTCGCTTAACCTACTGCGCCTATAATAATTCTAAGTCTCGTTATCGATTCAATAATTAAAGAAATTTACACATTTATATATTGCTTAATATATTCATTTAATACTATTATTATATGACGCGGCTCTACTCCAATACTTCCAAAATAACGACATTTTCATCGAATCTCTTTTTTCGTTTTTTTTTATTTTATCAAAGTTTTTCTCTACGTTATTTTTTTTTCATTAATACATACTTAAGTAATCATGACAAAAAGAACGCGTAGAAATATAAATAAACTACATGATGCAAAAGAAGCTCATAATAGAACTTCTTTTAAAACCCAACAATCGAACAAAACTTCTCGAACTACTGGAAATAAATTCTCTCAGATGTTATCGCGTGGTAAGTAATCATAGAATCTGATAAATGTATGAATTTAACCTCATAACCGATCTCTAATCCATTACTCTTAAAAAGAAACAAGACCGAAAAATAATCCATCTAATGTTTTTTCAAAAAATTTAATCAGTGCTTCTTCAAAAACTCCAACTAATACTAAAACTTTTCAAAGGAAGTCAATTGATCTGACAACTTCTACGAAAACCTTATCATTACCAATTGATAAAGACATTGAAGTTGCATCAATACATAGCGATGACTATGATGACCACAATGACCATGATGATCGAGATGACTGAGATAACCATGATGACCATGATGATCAAGACGACCGTGATGACCATGATGATTGTGATGACCCTGATGACCCTGATGACCGCAATAACTACAGAAGTGAAAGAAAAAGGGTTAGACACTCCTCATCAACAATCAATTCACCTTCATTAACAGATAGTGAAGATTTCTCACCATTACCAAAATCACTATCGTATTCTCATGATGATGAAGCTAAACCTTACCTGACATCCAAAAACTTCAATTATACAATGAATT